CCGAGCTACGCAGAGAGCCCAGTAGACCTTAATGGACATGCATACATTAGATCCTTGCATTAGACCCTCTAGAATCTAAGCTATATTTCTGAATCTACTGGTACTGGGCTCTCTGCGTAACACGGGTGTACAGGGATGTTGCTGCTGCTCATTCGGAGAATATTCACTGTCACAGTCCTAAACCACAAACCCTGCCTCGTAATCCCTACTTCATCCCTCACCTCTGCACCCCGCTCCATAATCACTACTTGAAGCTGTAGTCAGGGTTTCGAAACAGATTACCAAACAATGGTGCTTTCTTTTAGTTGATATTTCTCTCTTGGGGTCGTCCAGGGAAGAAAATTTGGGGCTTGAGGAGAAAATTTTAAGTTTGCATGCTTCGCAAAACTTGAAATTTACAATCTAGCCAAATTTGGTCTTAGAGTTACTGCTTACAAGGCTCCCCCCTGCCCTTCGGTCCCACGGTGCATGCCGGCCGTTCGCCCTCGGGCCCAGGGGGTGCCCAAGTTATTCGGTAGGAGCTTCGCTCTAAGCGTCGGAGGGAGGAAGGGTTTCGTTTTCATGCTTTGTTTTACTAGGGCTTGTGGCTTTCGGATACAAAGAACAGTCAGTTTTTGCAATGGCATTCTTGAATTTTGTTTATTAGGGACTGCAGGGCACCCCCGTCCTTCATGCCTTCTCCGCTGCTGCAGCCGTCAGCTTCCAGCAACGTCTTGGCAAGGCTGCGAGCATCCCCAGCCTCCCTAATGAGACTGCTGTGCACAGCCCCTGGCTTTGCATCAGCCGGCCCCTGGCACAGCCAGGACTCTGCTGGCAGCAAGGCCAAATCCCCAGCTGCAGATGCGTGGCCCCGGATGGCTGCTGCGAATGACATGTCCATCTGCTCGTCCATGCTGCTGGCCTGCACTGTCAGGGACCAGCCCCGGTAGTCGATGCTCACTTGTCGCTTGCCATCCAGCATGTCTGCGCTAGACAGGGCACGCAACTCCTTCAGTGTGCCGTCTTTAGCGTTTGCCAAACCGGTCTCGTCCATCTTCCCCGAAGACACAAACTTGTCCACGTGCTTCTTGATGATCGCCTCAACCTCCTCGCCGAGGATGCTCTTCACGGCGAAGCCGAAGAGCTTCTGTCCAAGCAACGAGGATTTCGACACGGCCTGGATCTCCGACGCCACGGACTTCCACGAATCCTCCGCTTTGCTAGTGAGGATCTTCTCAGTGGCGGCTTTCGGCAGAACTAGGGGCCAAAGCGCTGCATTGGTGCTGAGCCAAGCGGTCGGCCCCAAGCCACTCTTGCTGACGGCCAGGAACGCCTCGCGACACGCAGTGATTCGACAGGCACGCCGGACGACAGACAGGCTCCCTATACCTGAAGACCGTGCTACTTAGCGGCAACTAGCGCCCGACGAAAACACGCCAACCGGCATAAAACGTGCAAGCCTTGCGACGCAGAAACCCTCTGCGCGACTAGAAAACCCTGAGAACAAAATGAAACTTCGCAGCCTCCACGAACTATTTACTGCCCAATGAAGAAATCCTGCTTGCAGTTCCAAAGGGGCCTCCCCAACCCCCCAACTCACGCCCGCCAGAAGCAATCCTGGCATCTGGTGTTGGCCCCGCAAGGGGCTCACACAAACCCCCATTTTCGAGCCGAGAATGGGGGTTTGAGACTTGTACTTTCGACCTCCCACTCGCCTGTCCCAATCCCGCAGCGTGGCTGTTGCTGAAAGATTGAACTCGCACGGTTCTCTCGTTACAGCGCAAAGCAGTGCTGAACGTAGTGCTGTGCGAGTCAGAGCGAAAGAAGAGCTATGCGAAGCAACTTCCCCCCGGGCATGGGAGGGTGGGTGAAAAGTTTTGCAAGCGATGCAAGAGCTGTGTCAGTGCGATGCATGTGTTCAGCAAGCGAGCAACTAGTTAAGCCAAAGGTGCGGCGCGGGACTCACTCTTTGCAGTAACTAGAAAACACAGCTGAACAACATACAAAGACACAGCAAGC